AAACAGAGGCTGGTGATACTCCTTGTACACCGGTGCTCCATCGTAGCAGCGGTTCTGCGGGTAAACCGGAACGGCAGGTCATTTTTCGCCAGGTAAGGTGCCCGCCTTCATTATGTCGGAGTTGTGTCATACTGCATTTATTAGGCAGGCGACTCTGCGATACTCGTCGAGTTTGGCGAAATGCACCTCGACATTTTTGTCAGAGCAAGAATACATGCTTTTCAACTCCTCGTATCAGAAAAAAAGGTTCCCGGAATACTCTCACTGTGTCCTTGTATCCGGTCCATCATAGTGAGTATGGCAATCATACTCTTCTTCTTCCTAAAGGTTCACATTTATATAGTGCTTTTATGACCCGAACATCATTAGTCAGGGCGCCTTTTTACTGGTTCTTCGTGATTCAGAGGCATCGATTCCAGAGGATATGAGCACAATGTCATTTCCGGGGCGTCGGATCTCATTCCCTATCGTACTGGATGACAAATGGAATAAAGAAGCACTCCAGCGTTATATGTCGACTACACGGGATAAGGCAGTATATCTCCCTAGTAACATTGAATACCTTGCCAGGAACAACGGACTATCTGATGTCAATGCTGCATTGCAAAAGCTCATATCATCTGATTGGGTACGTCCCTGAATCTTATGAGGGAAGAATCATAGCCTGATATCTTTTGTGAATTCATATGTAGCTAGTATTGGGCGTTGGGTTCTATCTTGCTTGTCCTTTCTTGATCCCAGTGCGTCACTAAACACTCGCCTCAAATCATGTCTAAAAATAAAATTGGAGATCGATCCTCGATGTCGGTTGGTTGGGCAAAAGATGAATCCTTCTCGTACATTTACGCCTCGTGTATGTCTATGGATGAAGTGACTTCCGAGTAATTGCTAATATTGTTCTCAAGGGTGCAATCGGAATTGCAGGGCCTGTCGCTGCAATATATCCCATTGAATCCCCAGGCGGATATCAATTATATGGTCGTACCCTACCTGCTTGGCAGACATGGGGAAGAGGCTCGGATTTTCGACCAACCAAGCCTTGGTTGTTGGAAGTGTTCGATCAGGCAGGTGTTTACTGATTTACTCAACGCAATGTACTGAATATTCCCACTCTTTAGGTAGCCTTCACTCCAATGTCCGAAGGCGAATATCTGGAGGTAAGAATAAATCAAACTGGACGCATGAAAGCTAAAAGTAAACATCTATGATTCAAGTTCGAGAAGCAGTTTGACGCCGGTCAATACTCATTTAAGGTGTGTGAGCGACCTGCAGTTCCTCTTGTCAAGTTAAAATGTATAGATCCATAACTAGATTGAGCCAGTGCTATTTTCTGTGGAAGAGCATGCACGGTTCTTGTTATCAATTGATGAAGAGCTGAGGATATTTCACGCTCGCCAAGCTGATGGGAGCAAGGAGGAAGAACAAAGGTAGGGAAAACAAGTTTGCTTGTGGAAAGATTTGTTGATTTTATAGTATATAGAGAGCGTATTTTACTGCAAGAATGGGAGCAGCAGAAATCGGCCATTCAAAGCGACGTTGCTCAGAGCTATCACGAAGGTAAGCGTGTCAAGTATGTACAGTACGTTTCAGCACGTTTATGACCCTGCTTCTTCCGAATTTCAGGTTTGGTTCAAGGGATCAAAATTGATGCCTCTCTCTATGCAACCATATGGAAGGTCAAGTGCAAGCAGGGTGATATCATCACCTCTGACCAACAGGTCTTGATCATTCTCGAAGCCATGAAGACCGAAATCCCAGTCTTGGCGGGAGAAGGAAATGCAGGCAAGAAAATACAAGGATTTGGCATAGGGATCAGAGAGGGAAAGTCTGTACGCCCCGGGGAAGTTCTTGTTGTGCTCGAATAGATGGCTACACTTGAACATTATCCAAGACGCTATAATCACTTCAGACCAGTGTGATAAAATTTTGCAGGTCCACGTGACACTGACAAGTTGTGATGACAACGGTGCAGTTCAATTTGAGTCTTAGTCTTGTTCTCTTCCGTCAAATTCCTTCAATCAAGTTCTCAGCAAGCAGCGCACTTAACTGGTGCACTGCTTTAGTCTGCTTTATTCTTCTGTTGTAATTTCAAGCAGATGATGGCTACCAAACGGGGTGTTCGAAATACAGTAAGAATCTTGTGCCAATGCGACTGCTGATTTTGTGTTTCTAACTCGTACACTCCAAGCTGCCGAAAGGTTTGCAGGAGTGGAGAGATCTTTGTAATATTCCAGATAAAGATGATGACAATGTGATCACCAAAGCGTATGAATTTGCTTGGAATTCTCTCCGACCCCTCCTTGAAAAACACGGAATGCGCCTTTGGAATATCGGCTGGGGAGTCCAATTGAAAGGCAATAAGGAGTTTCCGATCGTCGACAATTACTACTTCATTAATGCATCGAAACGGGAGGATCTAGTACACGTTGATCAGTTTTGTATCCAAAACGGTCTATCTCATGCTGCAAGCGCGAGTGACAAGCGCGATTTCATCCTGCGCATTATTACTGCGGGTGGCCAGGGCCATGACCATCTTCGTATTTTAAAGCGATTGTCGTCCTCGCCGGATATTTTTCGGGGAACAAATCATGTCCTACCTATGGTGGACCAGATCATCTTCGAGGATATTACAATTGGCCTGTTTCCTAGGCTCAGTTGCAACATCCAGGAAATTGGTTTCCCCTACAGACAAACTTCCATCGAAGATATCTTATATATTGTCCTTCAAGCACTTGAAGTGAGTCTGTCGCTTTTTAAAATAATGCGTGAATGTCTACTCAGTTGAGTAAATAGGGCATAGCATATATTCACAGCATCCGCATCGCTCATCGAGTAATGGTCCCTGGAAATATCCTTTTCTCTAACATTTCTGATAACCGCCTTTGATTATAGGATCTCTTTGCGAGCAATATTATGATTGAATGGTGCCCCGAATCTATAAAGGAAGGCCGGGCTATCACTCGACCACGCGTATATTTGATTGATTTTGAAACTGCAGTTGAATTTCCAGAAGACCTTGCAGAGAGCGACCTACTTTGTGTGGGCATACCTATTGAGAAAGAATTCTACGCTCGAAAGCTTCCTGATGAGGTAAAAGAGGATGCTCCATACAACCCATTCCTCCTTGACATCTGGCAATTTGGATTCGATCTGAAGGAATACTGCCCGGTGCGTTTCTTTCTTTTTTTCTTACTTGTGTAGGTATCTGGCTGATTAGGAAGCCCAGATGATGGATATTCCAGAAGTCAGTCGGTTATGGGACGATTTAAATTCACCTCTCGCCCAGGATAGACCGAGCGCTTTGGAGGCCCTCCAGCGACTTGAATCATATGTGAAGTCTGTTCCTCCTGCAGTGTTACATGTGCCCTATATAAAGCCAGTTTACGACACAGACAACGATGTCATAGCAGTTATTCATGAGAACTTGGATGACGAGACATAATTTTGGGGGTGCTACCAGTTCCTTATTGTGGTCTTTAAAATTGTTTATCAATATATGTATACCATGCTGTAGCCGTTATTGCTTTGCTCTTTCCTTCTGTTGTCCACCCAATATGCTGCCAGATAAGATATGTACGACGGACTTGATCGATATTACACTTGAATGTATTGCTTTAAGTACCACTCATTCATAAACCCCTTGAAAACTTTGTGCTCTTATGAATAATCTAGCTTGTATACTTTAAAGTTTGAATTCTAATTGCTAGCCACCCAGCTGCTCGTCGTTTTGGATAAGCCTTCAATGCCATTATTTCTGCCCACAACTCTCTGATGAATATAATTAATTCATGTACACGGAGTAACATCCTTCTGCATCATATTCCAGGATTTGTTCTGAACTACATAGCAGGTGTACGCGGGCATCCACATATGTGACATGTGGACGCGACAATAAGGCAAAGCCAGGGGGGCCACAAGCAAAAGGTCCGCAAAGGCCAGTTGGTATCAATAAACGTGATCGAGGAATGAAAGACGCGCAGACGTTGTAGACAATGATAGATGTCGAAAGGGAAGTCATCTGCATGTGCCCTATTATCATCTATGTTTTCATGTATAAACGTGAGGATTTCGTTGTTCGCTCTCCTCCTTAGGCGTTCTGTTCCATGATTTCAGTCACAGATATACAGCAGACGTTCATACCAACTCCGTTTATATCCTTTCCTCACCTTTTCGTTCCCGGCCAGACATATCATCCACTACGTTATCCACGCATTTCCCTTCCACACCTAGTGATTCCATTCCCCTTTCGTACTTATCACAAAAATACAGGCTTTCTGCCAGGGTGAATGTACCTCAGTCAACCTTCCCTCAGCCGCCTGTGAGAAAAAGGAGCATATTTGACACATTGGCGTACCCGATTCGTACATTTCTCAATGACATACAAGAGCTTAGGTATTCCGGGGAGATCTTGTCAGGGCAAGGGGAGTGCCGTGTCTCCACATTCTATGCTGCCATGCATCTCAAGCTCGAGCACGAACTCACCATCCTCTTCCTCGCTACAGCTACCATTTATGGTGCTATACACTGCACTGCGTGGTGGTTCGTATTTCCTTCAACTACAGAGAGATGGCTATGGCGTTCGTCCGCTTTGGCTGTCTCAATTCTTCCTTCTCTTTTCGGACTCCAGTGGTTCCTCGTGGTGAAATTCTCCGCCCGATCCTATAGTCCTTCACCCTCACGATTAGTGGATCGCTTAGAACATATATTCCATATTACTTCGACTTCTCGACTTTTGGTTATGCTTGCTGTATATGTGATAGCTCGAATAGCGTTGCTTGTACTTCCTCTTCTTTCTCTCCGGTCTCTATCTCCTGATGCATACATTGGCATCAACTGGACTAATGTAGTACCACATCTGTAACTTCATACCAGATTTGCAATGTAAAGTTAGATGTTTTGTAAATAAAACATGATAGTTTCATCCCAAGCCACTCCTCTCAAAGGCTTTGAGTAATTAGAATTCCAATTGGGTAGAAAAAAAAATCTTGCGAGCAATGCAGTGCATTAAGGGGGAATTGAACCCCCGGCGGGTCGAACTCCACTTGGAAAACATGGCAACGACCCAGGTTACCACTACCCCATTAATGCCTGACTGTATTATTTTGGGGGTAAAATTATATGCATATTAGTTAATCTACACCTCTTTCTGGGCATTTACCTAAATTGTGGTTGAAGGGAACAAGCACAGATTCTTCAGATCTATAGACAACCCCTCAAATTTTTGATGACAATGAGAACTGTATTATCCACCCATCTGCACTTTTTACACATAAACATTATTGGTTCCGAGTGATGAGTCACGTCGTGGCACAGGGTCATGTGACAAATGCGCTCCCATGTTAAATTGAAGTTAACTTGCTTCTAGTCTCGAAACCAGCCATTATGGATTGATCTGATTTGGGATCAGATCAGGCTCCTAAAAGCAGCGCTCCCGGCTTTGCTCGCTGCTTACTACATGGTACGCGGGAAGTTGCCATGATGAAGATGATGCCAAACAAATAGAAAGTGTTCACGACGAAGCGAGGGAGCAGCTGCAACAATTGTGCATGGTGTTCTTGGGCATTCCTTTCTGAGTTACCATCTAGTATTTTAAAATCCTCAACAAAAGCTCAGGTGACTGAGACGCATGTGCAATTATCATTATGATGTGTAAACATCCCTTTGTGTATCTGCCCCTTTCCTATGCTGTCGACTGTGGGCACTGTTCTCGGAGAAAAGCAAAGCAAAAAGAGAAAGTGGAAAGAGGAAGAGGTTCACAATTTGGTACAGAAAAAGCTCAAACAGTGTCTGTCACCATTTCCTTGATGCTAAACTTCTCAATTTGCTCTTCAGTGACCTTTCTCACATTGAAGTGAAATCCACCAGATTTGTGCGAGAGCAAGGCCATTTGAGATGTGTAGACAGTTTCAGCAAGAGAGAGTGCCCAGTTTCTCATACCCTGACTAGTAGGACCTGGTGAGCTAAGAACATTTAGTAGGTTCTCTAGGCTGTGTTCGAGAAGTTGGGATGCAAGAGAATGAGCCTGATAATTGGGTGATGTTAAAAGATCACTGAAAAACTTTGCCAATGAGGAGCCACTGTGATCGAAGGCTTGAAGGATGGTATCCATGACTGTAGATGTTTAAACAACTCTTTGTGTGTTAACTATCTAAATGATGTCCTCAATGGAAGCCTACATGCCAGGATCTTGCAAGGTTGTGGCTATCTTATCAGATCTATGACGTGCTGATCCCAACTATCATTGAGGATTTTAAAATACTAGATGGTAACTCAGAAAGGAATGCCTGAGAACACCATACACAATTATTGCAGCTGCTCCCTCGCTTCGCTCATGAACACTTTCTATTTGTTTGGCATCATCTTCATCACGGCAACTTCCCACGTACTGTGTAGTAAGCAGCGAGCGAAGCCAGGAGCACTGCTTTAGGAGCCTGGGATCAGATTTGTTACCACAATGTCTGGAACAGATTAACCCAGGCTCCTAGAAGCAGCGCTCTCAGCTTCACTTGCTGATTTCTAGAGGGGAGCACAGGTCAGGAGAACTCTGTGATGGCATCAGGGTACAAACAAATAGTTATAAGGTCTTGAGTGAAGTGAGAGAGCAGCTGCCACATTTTGGCATGGACTTCTCGGGCATGCCTTTTGCAGTTTCCATATATCATTTCATATCATTTTCATCAATGCCATTTTGTAATCACTTAAGCCACTTAGCAGATGCTCAGGTGACCACTATGCATCATGACACCATATTTATCCATGCAAAGGAGTACTTAATCTGACCAACTCAAAGAGGTCCAGAGCATCACTGTCCAAGTTACAAGCTGTATCTGCAATACTGAATTTTTTGATATGCTCTTTGGTCACCTTCTTTGCATTGAAGTGGAATCCACCAGCTTTATGGCAGAGTGAGGCTATCTGAGAAGTGTAGACAGTTTGCACATATGAAAGAGCACATTTCCTGGTACCTGAAGATGTGCTCTGTGATGAGATTAGGATGTTCAAGAGATCCTGAACATTCTTTGATGTCATGCAGGGGTTGGTTTTTATATGTTGGCAGAGTGAGCAATTGACTAAGAAAATCAGCTAATGAGTAGTTGCTGCACTCAAAAGCCTTGAGTATTCTGTCCATCTTGATTGCTATCGATTAATTGCTTCACAAAAACTTATATATGATTTGACATTGAATGAATTCTTGCGAGGATGAGGCAATCATCTTATCTTACAGTTATATGACATCATGATGCATAGTGGTCACCTGAGCATCTGCTAAGTGGCTTAAGTGATTACAAAATGGCATTGATGAAAATGATATGAAATGATATATGGAAACTGCAAAAGGCATGCCTGAGAAGTCCATGCCAAAATGTGGCAGCTGCTCTCTCACTTCGCTCAAGACCTTATAACTATTTGTTTGTACCCTGATGCCATCACAGAGTTCTCCTGACCTGCGCTCCCCTCTAGAAATCAGCGAGCAAAGCTGAGAGCACTGATTCTAGGAGCCTGAGATTAACCGTGATGGAGTCAATGAGATTTTCAAACCCCGCTGATTCACCCAAAATAGAAATGCTTCTAACTGTGTGCCTCAACATTGGTATGCATTGAGCTTTTCCTGCTTGTCTATGCTGCCAGCAGGCGGCCTCCTCCAAGAGGTGTCAGATCCACCAATTGCAGACATCAGATCCAGTCAAAACAAAGCACAACTGGTGATATCTGAGGAACAGCATTTCAGTGGCATAGTTAGTCCTATCAAATTCAAACCAACTCTGCTGGACATGCTTCAGCACCATAAATTTCCACTTTGAACAATTATTATACTCATGGAACCTCATTCTGTCCCTTGATATTATGATCCATGTTTTATGAAGGTGTAATTCAAAAGAAAGTTAGATGTGCTAATTCAAGCATAAATAGAGTAAAAATTAAGGTACTGTTTTGATTATTAAAGAAAGACATCAGTAGTATTGCAAAGAGCAGATGCCAGGGAGTGATTTGACAGTGTTGGTAGTTGAATAGCAGGGACTGGAGGTCTATAGTAAGATGAAGAAGGATTGGCTGCTTCTTGCCTTGGCCTCCTAGGGGAATCACAACATTCATTGCAAGTAGTGGGAAGGTAGTATGATGGGTTTTCGTGGTGCACATCTGTGTTAAAAATGCGTACCTCTTGTTTATCCTCTGGGATACCTAGTCTTGTTTCTTCCCTGCTGCTGATAAGTATTTTTTCATGGAAGCTTTGGAGCTCTCACCTAGGGCTCTTCATGAGTTAACCCGCAGTTCAACCCGTACCCGCACCTGCAGGTTTTTAAAATCCAAAAGTCAAACTCGGACTCGTGCAGGTTCATTCCCATGGGTAACCTGCACCTGCAGGTCACAAGTTTACTTGCAGGTCACAAGTACTTGCAAGTACCTGTAGGTACCTACAGGCTTTATGTTGAAAGTTGCATAACTGTGTAGCAAGGGAGTATCTACAGTACAAGTGGGTAATATCTATGTATTAATCGACCATAATATCCATATCTAAGTCATCTACACAAGTAATCACATCATTGTCTGCCTCCGATGATGCCGGCTGAGTCGCCTTCTTTTTCCCGAGTCTTTTTGCCTTATCCTGGATGGTTTGAATGATCTTCGAAGCTGGGATGAGTTCCGGAAACTCGCTCCAGGAGTTGAGGACAGTTGAAGAGCAAGTGGAATCATCAGACAGCATGTGCTGCAGTTTCGAGACATTTACACCACCCCAGGAGAAAGAACGTTCAACATCGCATGAGGACGCTAAGTCAAAAATTACCATCGGAGACAACAGATAAAATTTTAAACATACCTGGGGCTGACAAGAAGTCAAGTCCCATCTGCACTAAAGGTGAGTCTCCAGCATTTGAATGCCACCACACAAGGGGATCTTTGACACTGGCAATCATCGGCATCTTCAAGTATTCCTCAAGCTCATTGCCAATTGTTGAAGCACTGAATTTGTCGAGTTCCACAAAAAGATCATCCTCGGTGTCATCCATCTAATGATAGATGTATCATTATTAAATGTTGAAGTCTTGAAAAAAGAGAGAACAAACCACTTTTGAGATGCTAGTTTCTGCAGTAGCCTCCAGCGATGGCTTGTAATATGTCGTCCAGTGCTCGCGCAATACTGTTAAAGCTGCATCGATCCACTCCTGAGGCCATTTTTTCGCAGTGAAGTATGTGAGTTTGTACTTGGGATTGAGGACTAGACAAAGCAATGTTTCTTTTTCAACCATAGCTATTAAAATGTAGACGACTTACTCATGGCAATTCGATACATGATTGATTTGTCTGTCTTCGAATAATACTTATTAAGGACTGCGAGGCCCTTCTTCGCACCAACCCTCATGGTGGGAAGAAGAGTCGAGTCGTAGAAAGCTTCCTCGAGTTTCTCATTGAGAATGTCGATGATGGGAATGACTTCATGAAGGAGTGGGATGCGCTTCTGGGACAGACGCAAAGTGGCTTGGAGGAAATGCTAGAAAACCAACAATGAGTAGGTCGGTTAAAGCTCATTCAAGGTAACACATTACCGAAAGGAGGGGTCGAAGTTGAGTTAGAAGCTTCCATTCATCCGAAGTGAGCTTGAAACAATGTATTGCAGTCTTCTTGTCTTTGTTGTGCTGCTCCAGATCGACCAACTTCTTGAGGCTGCCATGGATGTCCAACGCCGAGTTCAACATTTCAGCAACTGAGTTCCAGCATGTTGGAACTGAACGTTTAATCTGCTTGGGAATGACCTTGGCATGTTGGCAACACTTCTCAAGGTCCGCCCTGAGCAATGAGCTATGAAAGATCTGCTTAGCCAACTTCGTCAACTGTATATCAAATTCTTAGCATGCAAAGTGAAATAGATCACAAACAAACACACCTTTGTCATAGCCCGCTGCCCTAGCACAACATCCTCATCAGAAAGCTCAAGATCATCAACATTCTTCTCAACTTCTTTGGCTAGTTCCTCGATTTCTTGAGCATCGTGAGCTTCTCTGTCGGGGTCGACCTCTGCTGCCACCTCCATCTCATCTTCATCCAGAGCATCGTTCTCGTTGTCATCATTGTCATCATCATTGTCATTG